TCTAAAGTTTTATTGAAAAGTGAGTGTTTTCTTTTTCTCATTAAGTTTAATTCCTTTTACCACGTGGGCCCGCACAACACAGTTAAAACAATGAAAGTACAATTTAAAGATGATACATTACAGTTAAAGTTAAATAATTTACTCCTTAAACAACGACAGTTGTGATAGAATCCAGATATTGAGCCATTACATAGAGGTTTTGCTAAGAATGGTTGACTGGTTGCCATTGACGTACTCTTCCGTTTTTTGAATGGTTGACAACAACTTTTGGCAATTCATCTGCATAATTTATACGTAGACCAGATTCACCATCTTTAGTTTTTTGTTCAAGCTCCATATAGCAGGAACGCAACAATTTATGTTGAAGTGGGGTTCTATCACTAACCATTCGAAAATTATCAGGAAATGTAGTACCAAAGTGCTTTGCAGAGTTGAACTCAGATAATAAACATAAAGCATCTCCTTTACTATTTAAAATAGCTTTTATAGAGCGAGGTGAATCGGGGTTTGCCAAGACGGACAAGTTTTAAGTTCAGGGAACCAGCACTTGGAAGTGAAAGAAGAATATTGTCAATTGTCAATTTGTCATGAGCTATTTGCTCAGTTACAACCGTCGACGTAGATTTAGGAACAGCGTATATAATTAAATTAGACTGACATTTTTCACGCGCAAATGTTTCTTGGATAACTTGTGGTACTACAGATTTTGATATATCAATTGAGCTTGAATTTTCCAAACTTGTAACTTTACTTTTCAGTGCGTCAATTTCTTTACTAAGCCTAGCATTTTCCATCTTCAATTCAATCATTTGATCAGAAACCCGCAACAAGTCAGCTTTCAAGTCTTTGTATTGCGAAGCCTACAGTTCAGATATTGCCTTATTGGAAGATAATACTTCAACCTTAAAGTCCTTTAACATAACCATCAAGTCTTCATTTGAGACCATATTGGTTTTATTACTCATGTCAGCTCGATTGGACGATGCATTAACTGACCATCCGGAGGAGATAATTGAAGAAGACCGAGTAATAACTCTTGAGGTGTCTTTTGGAGGTGTATTAGGACTCATAATGATGTTCAATATAAAATACTCCTTAAAATTATAAAAACGCAACCAAAATCACAATCGATAATGCTGATACAGCGTACAACTGAGAAACAAAGACACCGAGCGTTTAAGTCACTAAAAAAAAACAGCTGGTTGGTGATGTGTGTAAAACAACAAATAACTACTGTGTGATAAGAAATTAAATTAAAGTCGATAACTCACCAACAGGTAAAACTTAATAAGTTAATAACTTCCAAAATATTAAAGCACAGTCCTAGAATCGACTTCCAAAGCGTTAGGAGTTAACACTTATTATATAAAACTACAACAGTGAATGACTTAACGACTAATTGTTATCTAAAAAATAAAAGATTATAGACTACACGCACATATTATAACGTTATCATATCTGATAGGTGTGACACCTCGCCTAGGTGGTGGCGACCCTTACTACTGTAGCTAGTCATTATGCAAGTGGCAAACCATGTTGTTGTTACAGGCCGAATTAAAAAGCCCCCTTACAAAGTAATAAAATTATTCAAAGAAAAATTGGTTAATTTATCCTTCGATTATATTGTCCACAACACCGAAAGAACAATCATCTTAATCTTTCATCAAAGGTTGTTATGACAGATAAAGTAATAATTTGATTGTATATAAGTAAAATAAAATACATATTATACATTTTTCATTCATAAATGTAAGATACATAATGCAAACCATTGAGCATATTACGTCATAATTCATAAGTAATTCTTTCTTTCAAAATAGTTTTGATTATAAAATTTAACGATCGTTTTTGTCATCTTACACCATAATTGGGAAAAGATGACAAAAATATCAATTTTTAAGAAAATCTATATTTCATTCTTTATATTGAAAAAGTATTAATGCAAAATTTCGAATTTTAAATTTATTTGTATATATCAGGATACCCAACTCAACCTCACGTTACCCTACCATATTTTATAAAAAAATGTAATTTTTTCTTTTCAGAAGTTAATATTAACCTATGATTTATAATTTTTTTATAAAATCTTTTTCTATTCCCCCCCAACCTCTTTAAAACTGACAATTTATGATAATCGGGTGGGGAATTCACTGCTGTTATCAGCGAATTGTGCGCTCAAAATATCTCATAGCACAGGTGCGGTTAAGGAAACCTAGCTGTATGTTATATAAAAAAATAAAGTAATAAAATAAAATAAAGTCAGCAATGATTTTCTTACCTTAATCACGTAAATACGGTTTTAATTCTTTGCTGGGGAGCCAGTTGACACCATTGTGATCGTATAACACACGAATAGACGATAAGTTTTTTTTTAGAAAAGAAAGGTGGCATAAGCCGTTGTAATCCACAATTAAAACAAGAATAATTTAATATTTACATATATATATATAATTAATTATAGTTGGTACTTCAAGAAGAATATAAAAAAAAAACAAAATGAAATGAATGACACTAAGGCGGATGCGTAGCTTAGACGTAGACGTTAGCAAACCGTATCGTGCGGTGTCACGAAGATAACTCGTTAAACATATATTTGCGGCGGGTTGTCGACGAACATGCGGCACTTGCTTGACTTTGTTCTGTGGAGTATCGCATGCGGTGTTAGTCAGTTAAACTTAGTAGTATCTAAATAGCGGGTTCTGGGGATCAAAGGATGCCGCCATGGTAATTAGTGTCATACGTCATCAAAAAGTAATAAATTAAGAGTGTTAATGGGTAATTAAATGGTTAATTAAGGTCAATCGTAATTGTTAAAGTTGTAAATCAAGTGTGTTATTGTTAAAATTGCGATAATAATGTGGGTTGGCGGAGGGTAGGTGGTCAGCTGACTCGGCGTTACGTCGTTGTCGGTGTGACGTATGCAGCAACGCGTGCCCCTCAATCAGGAGCATCACAGGTGTTACGTAATATAATCGCCCTTAAGGTCATCACGTCACATACAATAATGTTAAAGACTCTGCCCCTGCCTACACCCTCCCACCTAGGAGTTGTACGTCAAACGGTCGCGCGTTATATTGTGTCATCGCAACCGCCGCCGCCGCCGCCGCCGCCGTCGTCACCGTCGTCGTCGTCGTCGTCGTCATCATCGACGTCGTCGACGGGGTATAAGCCGTAGTCGTGTAACCGCCCTGATGACGGTGTCGGTCGGAGGTATGAATGGCAACGTTTGTATCTTTTAGCGCGATAAAAATACGATGTACACATGTCGAGGTGGTGATAAGCTTATTCCTAAGGTGCGCGATGTATCGAATATGATAAATCAAAATAAACCGTACAGTATCGCCAATTATTTTCATTTTAGATAAAAATTGTACGTAAAATGTTGATTTTGGGTAATGTGTTAAAAAAACTGAATATATTTATTATTTAGTTATTTGTTTGTAATCTAAACTTTGGATTAGGAAGCGGTGGGTGGTCATATAGTATATATGAAATGTAAGTTTTTTTTTTTTGATGAAAAAAAAAATGCATTTTCCAGGTCGCTACACGGTAACGGTGAAAAGTACGAATTTTAAACGTCGAATCCGCTATTTTGATATGCGACATGCATATATTTAGATAAAAACTACGTAAGAATGTTTATTTTACCTAATTTGTAAAAAAAACAATCATTTGTTCAAAACAGGCATGGTACCAGATTTTATAGATGACTATATATTTTTATACTATCGTATTTGAAATGAATACAGCAGATGGCTTACACTTGATGGCGACGATGCTGTCATTTTTATCAAATGTTAATCGTTAATATATGAGTTAATAAACTGCGCTTGACCATTATTCAAATAGTGAACAATAAATCAGTATTTTTTTGTCAACAATATATATAATAATAATAATGAGTGTTCCAGTTTTCTTATTATGAGATGTTTAGCAAAAAACATTCTTAAATAAGTACATTTTATTAAAAAAAAAAAAAAACTGTACTAATTAAAAAATAAATAATAAATTTATAGTTAAATTTAATTAATATGAAATATTGCATGATAAGTCGGTTGAATTGGAAAGTCGACGGTTAATAATGAACTGAATTTATATATATTATAAATAATTAATATATTATGGTATATTATATTAAATATACCCAATATTCTTTTAAATTATTTTTTACTATTGTAAGTTGAATGGTAGTTAAATAATAAGAAAAATTTGAGTTTACAAATAACAATACAGCATATTGTATATAATTTAATGTGTTAAATTTATTTAGTTATCACAACACTGTATATGTTTAAATAAAAATTCCATGGAACTTAACATGCGCGAAAACGAGACATAAATGTAATATATTATCTATTTCAAAAGTAATTAGACGATCAACTGTCATTTTCATCATTAACACAGAAGAACATATCATAAATTAAATTTCATTGCATT